ATAAATAAACCATCCGAATACAATGAAAATGGGTCGATTTACCGGCCATATGCATGAATCCATATCATATTCTATCCCTCACAATGAGAACTGCAAAAACTCTCCATTCGTGTAGAATATAATAACCCGCCAATATTCTCATGAAATCTATTACAGGAGGTTAGGAAGCTGTTTCAGAGATTTATTTCTGACCATAACTCTACCTTTTCCCGGTCGTGGCAGAAATAATTCCATTTCAATTTTCGGGATGGCGTTTCATTCCATTTTCCGTGGTGGAATAGAAGATTCGTCTCAGAACATGAAATAAAATACGGTTCTACATATATGAGCACACATTTTTCGAACAATAATTTTGAAAACGGCTGAATATCAATTCATTTCAGTCTGTGGTAGGCAATATTCATAAAAAATATTTCATTATGATTTCCGAGAGATAAAATCACGAATTCGACAGTTTGGCAAATCTAGCTGTGCCTCTGAACATTGAATGCGAAGTAGATTAGCCGGCGCAGTGGGGCGAGAGCTCTTTGAAATCGAGGAACTCGTGTAGTGAACATTTTGTGAGTATAGTAAGTAGATGCATTATTCTTTGTGTTGAACGGTGGGTTATTTGTTGTCTTTTGAAGTGACTTCTCATAATCTACTGAAAAATATAGATTTCAGTGGACACAGCAGAGAAATTGTGAATATCGAATCAAGATTTATGCAAGCAGAAGCAACGGCATATGGAATAGGAATTTCTCTTGCGTAGGTGCGAAGTGATAGTGATAATAAGTAAAATTTCAACCAATATTGGATTTTAAATTTGAATGTTCAAGAACGAGTAGCACAGATGAAAAAAATCGAAAATGGTAAGGAGAAACATTTTCAACCCTAAAAAAAGAGATGTATCCAAAATTCCAAAATTGTGATGAATGATGCTGATACGGCAACTTTACTCAGATTCATAATTATATTCCATATTATTATCAAAGATAAAGCTATCAACCAAGATATTGACTATCAGGATAGCATCGACTTTTTACGAGAATGAATTCATACATTTGGCTTTCGACGGAGAAAGGTGAAAAAATCACAGTGAAATATTGATGGAAAGCCAGCCTATTCGACTACTTTGGATATAATTCTTGCACAAAATGCTGACCTAGGAGCATAGAGAATAATGTCGACCAGTTATTCTTATGGATGAAACATATATTCACGCTACATGCGTGATCTGATCTGAAAAAGCCTGTTTAAAGGACAACGTCTGATTATAATATATGCGAATGGTGGAAATGGGTTTGTGTCTAATGCTTGCATAAGAAAACGAAAATCAAATTGTAATGTAAGTGATTATCATAACGAAGATTTCTGATAATCATAAATAATGGCTGTCAAAACAATTGATTTTGAATTTGCCGTTGAGAAGGATTGTGGGGATCGATGATACACTATATCATAATGAACAAATCGAGAAAATGGCAACGACATCGACAAAAAAACAGATATGCAATCATGGTTATCCATGATAATATTCTACATGGAATATTATTTTCTCTGTTGAAATAGAGATGTTCAATATCAAATGATTGCGTTCAAACTGTGACGTAAATTCATTCACCTTGTTATACTGAAATTCCATAATAGTAGGCACTAAATTCTCTGAAATATTATGTCGTCAGATTGTGATTCTATATATTTCATGATGTGATAAAATATATAGAATTTCGTATCACATCGTATTCCTTGAACAAAATATTGTTGAATTTGACTGCCAAATGCCGACCACTCATATAGGATTTCGGACAAGACAAAATTTTATGTGGAAAACCATACCTTCTCTCTTATATGTATAGAAAATTTGGTGAAACAGTATCGAATACCATTAACAGATGAAAAAATATACTTATTACAGAATTATTGGGATCAACTCAGTAGAATGTTATTGAGATAATCATAGGGTGAGGTTTCTATGGAACGACTTTTTCTGAATCTGTGTTTGATTATACAGGGTGTAACATAAGTACATTAAAATATTCAAGTGACGTATTCCTGAGACAATTAAAAAAAAAAGTTCATATAAACTTGTGTCCGAAAATGCTTCGTTTCGGAGATACGGAGTGTTAAAATTGAATGTTTTTGTTCGCTTTTTGAAAATAACTCTTGCAAAAAATAAGTTGTTTGCACGAATTTCGGTACCCGGGGTTTTTTTGACGTGGGAAATCATGATTTCGTATTAATTTCCATGTAAAATTTAGAAGGCACTGCGTACGCTGTCATTATTTATGTCAAATTGTCCTAATTTTTTTGACAGTAAACTTTTGGCACTTTTCATGAAAAAACCTCAATTCCCACATCTTTTTCAAGTAAAAAAGGTACATCTCCTCAACAACGCTAGAGGTGATCGTTTTCGAGATATTTACAATTTTCTATATCGATGCATATTACTTAGCTCTCAGGGCGCTAAGTGAAGTTGCTGAGAACATTACAAAAACTAAGTATGTGGTGGATCTCGTCAAAATAAACAACTTTTTTCTATAAAATATTTAACGAAGAATGATTCGTTTTCAAAATACAGATTGTTAGAATTATAGGGGTACTACAGCTGATTAACGGAAAAACAGATTTTCAACAGATTTTTTTGAAACAGAACAGATTTGTTGGTCCAAAATGGTAGGGAGGGCATCATTTTACCAAGGACTCCAATAATCAGAACATCGATTCTGACAGACTGATCTGGATGGTCTGTGGAGATCGAAGAGAAAATCTCGATATTTCATTCGTTTTTACTCCCTTTTTTGGACGGTATTCGTCTCGGCAGGGTCTGGAAACTCCATGACAAATATCTTCTTGCTCTGGTGGGTGAAAAGGACTACATCAGGCTTATTGACTTGTATGAGGCTGTGAATGGGGAACGAATAGTTCCAATAAATTCGGCACTTCTCGTTCCCCACGACGAATCAATATCTCCGGAACGTAGGGCAACACCAGTGTCTCGTCAATACCGTAAAAGTGCCGCAGGTGATACTATAGCACTCTTAGGGCCGCATCATGTTGAGTGATATAGGCAGATACCACATATGCTGGACATGCTGAAAGCAAGTGCATTAGAATCTCAGCAGGCCCTGCATCTCGTGTCAGGAACATCTATACTCATCAAGTGACTATTATCATTATTTTTTGACCTGAGATTGGGCTGGTCACGCCCTATTCTCCGAAGCCCCGATACATTCAAGAGGGTGCGCCAGCATTATCAATCAACGACCACTCCCCACACCGTGGGGTAAGCGATCATTGCGTCAAAGAATCATTATTATTATTATTATCATTCAGATATGAATCCACATTTTTTCAATTGCCATAGCCGAAAAGTTTCATTTTCGCATGGAGTCTTCTCAGTTCAAATTAATGTAACTGAAATTTTGATGGCAATCTTCGAAACCCGAAAATGGTATGCATTTTCGGGTTTCGAAGATTTCTGTAGACAGTTACCTACATATTATCAATCATTATCGTGATCATCCGACAAAGTGAGTTATTCTGTACAAAAGTACATAACAGTAAATGAAATGATGAATTCGTTTTATCCTGAAAAAAATCAATTATCGTATACACGATATATAAATCAGGCTTGAAATGAGTTTGGCCGATATCCAACGTATAATTTCCAATTATTGGCATTCTCACTGCTTATAGTTGCAGGACATACTGAAAACTGCGATCAATTATAATAATCAACGGTGATGCATGGTTGTGAAACGGTAAAAAAATTCATGTTTGACACGAAGGGCCATTTTTCGCATGAGATATGTCGATTGGCCTTTCGATTGTTATCATTTGTTTACTACGAACACTTCTGAAATTGTTTTCTCGAAAACCAACCATCGTCAAAAGTCATGACTGTTCATTCAGTAAATTGGTTTCAAAACGGGTCGATCCATATAGGATGTTTTTTCTCGGGGTCTGACTCTTTCACAACTTCCGATATGCAGCGTTTCGGTTTTCATCTCCTCAACTGTCACAAAACGTGTTCCTTTTTTAAGGCTCTTCAATTTTGGGAACAGGAAAAATTCACAGGGGGGCAGATTTGGTGAATACGTTGGCTGACAATCAAGTAATGATGAGTAAGTAGGTGCATTATCGTGATACAAAAGCCATGGTTTTTCCACAATAGTGGACGTTTCCTTTAAAATAATAATCCTCATCAACCGTACGATCATGTGGCAAAATCAACTGATGCCCTATGCCATGGTAATCGAAGAAGATAATTGAGCCAAATTTCGAAATTTAAATACATTTGGCGTGCTTTTTTTAGTCTTGGCTACCCTGAGCTCTTCCATTGGAACGATTGAACCTTGGTTTCGATGTCATAACCATATACCCATGGTTTGTCATCAGTGATGAACCTTTTAAGCAAATTTGGATCGTCGTTGACTATTCTTGAGCGATGCTAAGGCGACAATTTGCTTCGTCAAAATTCAGCAATTCTTGAACGAACTTCGCTGGCACATGCTTCATGCCGAATTTTTTTCACTTTTCCAACATTATTATCGTTTGTAGAAGTGCTGAGATGTCCAGGGCGAGAGTCGTCATTCACATTTGGTCGACCTCCTGTGAGAAACTTATACCACTTGTAAATATTTTTGTGACTCAGATTACAATTACCGTATGCCACTATCAACATTTCTGATGCTTTCGAGTACTCGATTCGTGTTCTATACAAAATATTTAATGCAAATTATTCTATCAATGTTTTTCAAAAGCACGCAAAACAATTATAACTTTTATGCATCTCACCAACAAACTGAACATCTGAACGGCTGAAAATATGAACGTATGTTCCAGCAAGCTAACATAAAAAATTCAAAATTCGTCAATCGAAGTACGTAGTCCGCGAAATTTGTACAGTAACCTTATTTTTGAACAGACCCCGAAGACAATCGTCTTTTCAAGCAAATCAGAGCTGGTGAAATAAATGTAGTCACACATCAATATCAAACTGAATCTGCATATTTGTTTCAGCATGTTCTGTATCTGTGGGAGTTTGGACGCTCGTCGCAATATCAGTGGAGAGATATTACGCTATTTGCCATCCTCTCAGATCGCTTAGATGGCAAACACTTAACCATGCCTACAGACTCATTATAGCTATATGGATTGGCAGTCTAGTTTGTATGACACCTATTGCCATTTTGAGTCAGCTGCAGCCGACTAAACAGGGTAGGTAATTTTGTATGCAAGAGCAACATCTGATAGATTTAATTCCACGGTAAATTGAGCGGTAGTTCAAGAAAAAAATTCTTCGCTCACTTTCCTAAATAATATTAGGTCTTTAACGGAGTAAAGCAGAAAATACGAAAAAAAAATGTTTATATGGATTGTATTCATTTATCTGTGTTACATTTATCTGTACCAAACTGGCTGCCATGCCAAAAAATCTGATCGAATACTTGATTCACAATTCGGAGGCTTGGGAATGTACTATTTACATATTCTCATACCTTCATGAGAAGACGATCTATCTAGGTTCCATCCGTTATTTATTATATAGAAACAGGAAAATTTGTGGTTGTATAACTCAAAGAGTATTATAGAATATATCAAAAAGATCATGGATATTTTGCAAGGAATATAATGTGTAAAAGCCAAATGGAATAAATTTACTATTTCGGTTACTGCACATTTAAAAAAAAACCGGCTTAGGTTGAATGTAAATTATAATTTGACATTCATCAACACAAAAATGCCACCCCAACCTTCAACCCCCTTCGAATGACATGTACAACTTTCAATTTTTTGAGTGGGAAGTATAGGTTTGTGACATATCGTTTAAAAGGTATCTTCATTCTCTACCAAATTGTTATCGCTTTCAAATTTATTGCAACAATGAAGATAAAATAAATTAAAATCATGTGGTTACCGAAATTTGATAAAATACACTCAAAAACTAAAATGTAATGCAAAACGTAATGAAATGTAGAATACGGAAAATAACTATCGATGTTAAGGAAGTAGATGTTCAAAATGTTCACCACGAACGTCTTGGCAACATCCTAATCTCAAATGAAACTTTCTTCTAACATTATTCAACATATCAGGCATGTCAGACCTAATCGCAAGCGTTATTCGTTTTTTTAAATCATTCAAATCTGAAGGTTCAGTTTTGTACACATTGCTCTTTACATATACTCGTGAAAAAAAATCTAATGATCAGAAATGAAAGATCAATCAATCAATCAATCAATCAATTTTATTGGTAATAATACACATCGTGCTTTTACAAGTCAGAATACAATTCAAGAATACAATTTAAAGAATACATACAATTATAAAATTACAGTTTAAGAGGTCTGAGGGTAAAATTGATATTTTGGGTCTTGTTTTGGTTGAGAGAAAGTTTGTTCGCTAAGAACCATTCTTTTATCCGATTCTGCCCTCAGCCAAAATTTCTTGAATTGGTTCTGACGGGTGATATACTTGCAGATGAGTGGTGTCATCCGCGAATAGTATGAGTTTTGAGCCAGCTACATTGACTTTTAAGTCATTTATATAGATCAAGAAGAGTAGAGCCCACAAAACTGAGCCCTGTGGGACTCCATGATGCAATTGCATAATATCTGAAGAGACATCATCATATATAACATACTGAGAACGTTATGTTAGATAGGACCTGACTATCAGAATGAAAGTAGTAAAACTTTAGTTTTTTAATCAATATATCAGTTGAGACACAATCAAAAGCCTTTGTCAGGTCAAATAGAGAAGCATATGTATCAGGTCCTTGGTCCCAGCCGTTCAATACAATATCTGACAACTCATCAATGGCAGCCACAGTAGATCTATTGGATCAGGTGATTGCCCTGGCCATTCAATCAATTCTTGCCTCACTATCCACCGATTGGGAAATGTTGTACCGAGGTATTGCTGAACATTAACTTGGTAATGTGGTGGTGCTCCATCCTGCTGAAATCATATCGTATTCACTGGAACTTGAAGGTTTCCTGGATCAGGATATAAATTTGCTAAACTTGGAATGACATTATTTTCAAGTAGTGCCAAATAATTATCACCATTCAAGTTACCCTCAATGAAAGAGGGACCAATGATATAGTTTCCTACAATGCCTGCTCAAACATTAACCTTTTGAGGGTATTGCGTGTGTTCTTCTCTCATCCAGTGACGATTTTCTGTTGACCAGTAGCGGCAATTTTGTCGATTAGCATGACCGTTAAGAGACAAAGTACACTCATCAGAAAGATAACGTCTTCTAATTGGATGATATTGTTGTCCAACATGTCCATCATTTGCTCAAATGCTACCAACATCGTTTTCCATAAGCTCCTGAGTAGGTATCATTTCATAGGGATGCATTTTATTTTAATATGTTCACTATCGATATATGACTAACATTGAATGTAGTGTGTGTCTGTCTACTCGATGTAGACGTATAGGACGGCGCCGACGGCCGCGCTCAGTGTGATCACGGGTATAGCCCCGCTTGACATAGAAGTTGGGGCCAGATACCATGAGTGGAGAATGACCCAGGAAAGGAAGATTGAAGACAGAATGAAAGGTATAGACAAGATACTTCCCTGGATGCAAGGGGATTTACTGGAGGAGTCGCAGGACGAAGGGCTGACTGAGGTGTATGTGGATGCCGGAGCGAGGATGGACGAGGAAAGAATGGGACATAGGAAGAAAGAAATGATGGTGAATGTCAGAGTGATTGGTGATTCTGCAATAGCGGCAGAAAGGATGAAAGTGGCACGAGTGAAGAATAAAAGGTTGGCAATGATTCAGAGAATGGTTGAAGCGACGTATGAAAGGGGGCACGGACCGAAATCTTATGGCGAAGAGGGCACCGAAATTATAATCTTGGCAATGAGAAGGCCTACAAGGAGGCCACGAAAGGCACAAGAAGGGATAGCATTTCATGGAATGTAAGAAAAATGAGTAGCAATAGCGACGAGAGAAAGAGGATAAAGAAATGGATAATGGATAACGGCCTGACTGGGCGACTGCTCTACAGAGTCTGTAAAGCAGTCGGACATGAGTCACTGGATGTGTCGAGGAAGGCAGTTCAACTGTTCACGAAGCACGGTAACTTCCCGAGATACCTGGCTAGGTTTGACCTGGCGCCGGAGGTGCCGTGCCCATGTGGATGAGGGGAGCCTGAAACGACAGAACATGTGATAGAGAGATGTATGGACGGAAATAGAGTTGGGTGGCGTGAATGAAAAGAACGGCTGGAACAAGAAAAGGGGGGTATGCAGTTAAGAGATAGAAATGAAAGGACAAATGAATGGATACGCGTGGCGAATGAATGAGCAGAGAGTGTAGTTAGAAATGAGTGGGACGAGTGAGAGGCAAGCTACCAGTGTTGCCAAATTGGAATGACGATGATCTTCCCAATCTAGGCAATCCTATGAGAACTCAAAAAACTGATGATGATATGGAATTACTTATAAATCACCTTATACAGAATTGTTTATTTAAGTTCATATAGCATAATATGGTGATGTTATATTGTAACATGTGAAGAATTGTAATTTATTTTGGTAATCAATAAAGTTTTGGGTCTGCGACCCCCGCTGGTTTGGATGAGCACGGGTCCTTTGGCAGTGGTGACGTTTGGATAGAGGGAAGATGCCCAGATGAAAGGCTTTCGAGCCAGGTCAGCGCAGGGCAATGTTATTATCCATGTCTACTCGATGTATGTGTGTTTTCCTTAAACGCAAGCACCACATCTAATTTGAGTTTATCACTCGTTGCATTGGCAACTACTTTTTTATCTGCCATACATGACTAAGCTCTCGAAACTGCTTCTCTATTTTGCATATTGTTCCTTGAGATATGGGCGGTAAATTAAGAAATTTCTCATGAAATAGGCTAGCCAATTCCTCTTTTGTTCGGGGTTTATTTCCGTAACCAATCATTTGTAAAACTGTTATTTTATGCATTTCCGTCAATCTTACCATTTGTTAGACTTGAAATTAACGAACGTAACTTAAATTGAAATACTGACAACTAATGTTGTAACATACAAAATAAATTGACAAGGCGTTGTGATCTAACGTTGCCACGGAAATTATTCATAGTTTTTTAAAAGATACCATCAGAAAAGAACATTGGTATGGTTTCAGCTCACTTTCTTATTATAGATACCTCAACATGAAAAACATTTTGAGTATATTTTATCGGATTTCGGTAACCACATGATTTTAATTTATTTCATCTGAAATGTTGCAATAAACATGAAAGCGATAACATTTTTGAAAAGAGGATCAAGAGACCTTTCAAACAATATATCACAAGCCTATATTTTCTATTTGAAAAATTGAGGATTGTATCTGTCATTCGACGGGGGTTGAAGGTAGGGGTAGCATTTTTCCGTTGAAATATGTCAAATTATAATTTGAATTTGACATGTTTGGGGATTTTGTTAAAATATGTACCGTAACCGAAATAATGAATTTATTTCATTTGGCTTTTACGCACTGTATAAATATCTCATGAATTTTGTTTTCTGTTCTTCAAACTGGAAAAATTGTTTTCAAACATTTTATGATGAACATTTCTCTTATTTTTGCAATTCTGAATATTTGAAAGGAAATGGCGTTTAAAATATGTATTGTTTCGGTTTTTCAACATGCTACTCAGCTCACAGCTCATCAGCTTCAACGGCATGATACCATAATTTTTATGATTTTTACCGGTAATAAACTGGATGAAATCGTTTGGAAATACCCTAATTCTCAATTTCTAACATTCGGATTGTGCTGGGAATCGCACGTTAAACGATTGCCCTCGTTAATCGGTATCTCAACTTTTGAGGGTAGCCGTTCGTAGGAGGTCGATACCTGTTAGTACTGTTTGAAAAATATCTTTACATTTTCAACAAATCATCAGTTTAGGGGATATTATCTGCATGAAATTATTGTTTTCCATTCAATAGCCATGGTAGAATCAACATAGTATTTATGTAGTTGGTAAATGGAATGTGACAATTATATTTTCAAAATGAAGCAGCCTTAAGGAACTTCAGGCGTTTCCCACAGTTCTGTTCTGTAAATTACCGACAATCCCCGAAACAAAGCAATTAATCGAAATACGGCATTTTTAGATATCTATGGATATATGTTTCATTCACTCATGATCGTATCAAACAATGCTTTGTATAACTGAACAATTTTCATATATGTTCATGAGTGGCTTTCAAAATTCTACGTTTCATAAATTTTTTCAAACGAACAGATGTTTTTTCGATGGAATGATTGATTAGCAATAAAGTAGAGAGCCTATATTTCAAAATTGTTTCAAATTGGAATGCGATTTCACATATTACAACCAATATTTATTGCGAGTACTGAACTGAAGTAATGAAAAATTAGTGCCGGAAGAATGAACAAATCAAAATTTTGCATTTGTTGAAAGCATTTGGAATTTATGAAACCTATTACCTTCATCAATAGATTCATAACACATACTGAGAAAATTGAAACATTTTCTGCACATTTGATGGTTATGAACGAATATTCACTATAGAAATAAATACTAATAATTTATTCAAAACACTATCGTTCTACATCATTTGTTTCGTTGAATAGTTATTAAAACAAATAATTTTAGTGATTAGGTTCTGCACTTGATTTTAAAACAAATATCTTCACGAAACATTTCAATTGAAATCAACGAATAAGGTTTTTGATATGTCAAAATTCTACTTATGAAACTGTATAATGAGTAAATCTGGAGGACGATATCAATCATCCCTGCTATGATAGATACAAAGAAAATTCTGGTTTTCGAATTCGAATCTTCATGAATATCATTACAGAATATTCTTGCTGTGAATTGATTCAAACAGTGGGTTAAAATATATTTTTCTAGCTATCATCCATTTATCGTCAATTAACTGTCGTTATTTCTCAAACAACACTCATGAATAAATTCTTGAAAAAAATGTATTAAAACCTTTTAAAATGCTATCGAAATTTGAATACTCCTCTTCATGTATTTAACGTTGCACATCTGAAGAGAAAATAGAGCAGAATCAATAAAATATTTGTCAGTCATCCTACATGACATTCTACTTGAAACTGAAATACCTGAATGATCAACAGATCATTTTGCGATATCTTGTTATATTATACTATTCAAATTCCAAGAAAAAACACAGTTTGTTTCTATTCGACTTTGAATATCTTCATTGAGAACCCAAAAACTCACAATTGCGACATTATTTTTGAACTGTTAACCGTGAACCTTTCTGAATGATGGTATATTTTTTTATCACCACACCCGTTTAAAAATAACAAGAAAATACAAAATACAAAAAACCACCAGTTTCTGAGAAAGAAGTTATGCCAAATTGAGCCGTCCTTCCATGGGTCTTCTCAATCTTGGGAACAGAAAAAGTCACAGGGTGCCAAATCTGGTGGATACGGTGGCTGAGGCATAATTACGAATAAGCAATGACGAGTGAGCCGGTGCATTATTTCGATACCAAAGCAATGAATTGTTTTTCCACAATACCGCACGTTTTCTTTGTATTGCTTTTGGCAAGCGGCGCATGAATTCGAGATAATACTTCTCATTGACCGTACGATCATGTGGCAAGAACTCATGATGCACTACGCCACGGTAATCGAAGAAACTAGTGGGCAAAACCTTGACATTTTAACAAACTTGGCGAGCTTTTTTTGGTCTTGGCTCTGCTGGGCTATTCCATTGGGACGATGGGACTCTGGTTTCGATGTCATAACTATGAACCCATGAGTCACTAGTTATGACCCTCTTGAGCAAATCTGGATTTCCATTGATGTAATTCAATGAGGCATAATTACGAATAAGCAATGACGAGTGAGCCGGTGCATTATTTCGATACCAAAGCAATGAATTGTTTTTCCACAATACCGCACGTTTTCTTTGTATTGCTTTTGGCAAGCGGCGCATGAATTCGAGATAATACTTCTCATTGACCGTACGACCATGTGGCAAGAACTCATGATGCACTACGCCACGGTAATCGAAGAAACTAGTGGGCAAAACCTTGACATTTTAACAAACTTGGCGAGCTTTTTTTGGTCTTGGCTCTGCTGGGCTATTCCATTGGGACGATGGGACTCTGGTTTCGATGTCATAACTATGAACCCATGAGTCACTAGTTATGACCCTCTTGAGCAAATCTGGATTTCCATTGATGTAATTCATTAATTCCTGAGCGATGCTTATGCTATCTTTTAGCCAAAATTTAGCAATTCTGGAACAAACTTCGCTGGCACACGCTTCATGCCCAAACTGAAAAAAAATGAATGGTATGAGACAACCCATATGCTGACATCTTAAGCAACTTCTTTGATAGGGATTCGACGATCGAAATTCAGCAATTTCGAAACGAACTTCGCTGGTACACGCTTCAAACCCAAAATGTTTAATAAATCCAATTCGACGATTTACAAAACCGCGACAGGTGTTTCGCTATACGACAGCATTTTTGGCGTCACAACACCTTGTTTTACTTCACTTTCATCCATTCGACTCTTCCATAGTTTATTGCTTCCTGGGCTGCTCTGCTTTTGTTGTAAGTCCTCAGAAAGGTGAATTAGGGTTGAACTCGTACTTTGTTTTTGAAGCACTCAGTTGTAATTGATACATAGAAGCAACTGATTCAAAAATCACGTAGGGGCTTCCTTCAAAAATATGATAGAACTTACTTACTTAGTGAAAAGCCATAATAACGTATTCACAAAACACACTTCAACGTGAGGATTCTACTTAAAACTTCACAAAACAGCTCACATTGCAGTGTGTTTTTCAAATACGAATACAGCTTGCGTGAAACTAAAATATGCTTTAATTCTTCCATCACCTTCAGTAGTAATCTATTGGCTACACTTCAATTTTTCTATGTCAAATGTGCATACAGTTAGTTACTGAAAGGGACATTACTGACTGAATTTTTTTTTCAGGTAATAAAAAATGCAGAGAGAACTGGGCCTCTCTAGATTACGAAAGGGCGTATAACATATTTTTGGATGCTATTTTATTGGTCATACCGTTACTAGTGTTAGCCGTAGCGTATTCATTGATAACAAAAACACTATGTAATGGAATGAGAACTGAGAAATACATGAGAGATAACAATGGTGAGTATTGACATTTATCTATTCTTTATGTGCATCAATTTCTAACTTTTCGTCAATAGCTGTGTAATATATTATTGTGTTCCCCAGAGGATTTTTTTTCATGAATTACTTCCTGCTACAGAATATTTCGACCACTTTTATTCTAAAGTATGGTTTTCTGAAAGCAAAGACACCATCATCAACTTTTTTTTTTATGGGCTCGCATTGGATTATTTCAGTTTTAAATAAAACCAGATTTTACCTTTTCAATTATGTATCATAAGTTATCATTCTTTTTCGACAAATTGGGGATATTGAAAAAAATTATTTCTTATCATAATAGGCTTTGACTTTGATGATTATGAATTTGTTATTGTACAAGTCATTGAATTTTTGGCGCAAATGGCTTTCACGAATGAAGAAAAAGATATTATACAAATACGATAGAAACAGTATTAGGACATTGGAAATGTATTTAAAGTTGTATCCCGAAAGACGACAACCACATTGAACTACGTTCAAGTTATTAGATAAAAATTTCACCGAGTTTGAAAAGCCAATGAGAAAATACGTAGACTGAATCAACTCCCAAAATTTGATAAATGAGGTGTGTATGCGATAAATTAGACATTGTGTTCTTTTCAATGGAAATAGAACTATGAAAAAATGAAAATAATTTTCTAAAATGAAGAGACAAAAGCAAATCACACCGAATACTCCCTCCTCCTCAATTTTCCGAACTCTAACAATGCTGTATTGAAGGTCCTCAATAGTTTTATATTTCCTCTGACCATAAACTCTATTTTTCAGTTTACTCCAAAGGAATGTATCAATAGCACTCAAGTCTGGAGACCTTGCTGGCCACCTCACCGGCCAATTATTCTTTATCCATTCATCACCAAACCTTTTAATCAGGTAATTAGTCTGGTAGTATGCGGTGGACTACCATCATGTTGAAACCAGACTTTGTTATAGTTAGCCAAGAGTAGATCATCCAAATAATCTTCGAAAATCGACATCAAAAACTGGTGATAGGTTTCTCCATTCAGAATTCCGTCAAATAACTGAGGACCGAAAATTCTATCTTTGTGAATTCCTGCTCACACGTTAATACTAAATCGCACTTGAGGTCAAATTTCTCGGAACTGCTTAGGGTTTTTTATGTTCCATATGTGTTCGTTTTTTCGGTTGAATATCCCACAATTCGTAAAAGTGCTTTCATCTGCCAAAATTACATTTTCCAGGAAAATAGGAAAATCAGGTGTTCTTTTCAGCCAATTACAAAATTCTAATCGCCGTTCGGGATCGTCCTTCAGAATCACATGGCATCGGTACAGAGCGATGACCGTTAACCTAACTTATTAATATTAGTATTCATGTCCTGAAAATTGGCACTTCTTGTTATACCGTAAGTTGGAATCAACTTCTTCAATTCAAATATAACACTCTGTACATTTGCACATTTTTAAATGTCTGTCATGATTTCAATGTGAGTTTTTGTAGAACATCCTATACCAAAAACTAACCGTTCCCCAGATACTCATTTGTTTAATAGGTATTCGGCTCTCTAGTAATCCAGCATAAAATTTTAAAATTTGATAGAATACATAAATGAGCTATCATTGATTCATCAGAAAATACTTCATTTCATCATCTTGTAGAAGTACCTGCCATTTCCGAAATGTCAACAAGGTGTTCGGAATCGATGACCTAATTCTGAAGATATAAATATAGGCCAAACCTCAGTTTGTAGTTTTGTATCTCAAAATAGTTTTGAAATTCCGAGATGATTTTGGCTCATTTTCAAAAAATATTTCAGCTTTTTATGGACAAATAAAACATGCACATATATACCATAATACTATGGGCTACAATGGTTGATGAAGAGAGTTGATAAATGCCTGGAAATCAATGGAAAAGTCTTTGAACATATTTTGAAATAGTCAAAAATTTAATGCTTGGTATACCTAATTTTAAGACAACGATAAAAATAAAATAAATACAACAATAAAAATTAATTGGCGCTCCGGAGCGACTTCATTGATTCCAGTGGCGCATTTGCTTTTTCAGCTGCAGGAAAAGCCGGAAAAACCTGCAGCACCACATCATCTGAAGATCTTGATCCAACAATGTCCTCTCTCTCATAAAACAAAATGTAGGGTGAAAATTAGTTCCCCCCGGTGCGGTCGTAACTATGACTCTCTTAATGGTCGATAAGATCACTATTGACTGATGACAGAAACGCTGGTAAAGCTAAGGAAGAAGCCGAACGTAGCCCTAATCCGCCAAGATTTACAGGAAGAGTTGCTTGGATATATGATGGAATCGGCCGATACTTGATGAAAATCCATAACTAACGTATTCCAAAAACACTTTATTTGAGCCATACAAAGATATGAACAACCAGAAAACATTTCAAATAGGTTACAAATAAAACCTGAAGTGTTGGGAAAACGTCATTATTTTCATTCAATAAAGCATATTAAAAACCTATTCTTGTCAGTTTTCAGATAAAAATCCTAATACTTCCCACAATACGTCTAATCGATAGTCATCACGATTTACCCTGTAGTGTGTAGTTTTCTTATGAGTGATACCTGATTCATGCATAATCTACACATATCTATAAATTATTCATTATAAAATTGCTCTCTTCCTTCCCTGAGAGTTTTCCACATTTTTGGTATGAAGATGGAGAAGTAGGAGTCCAAAACATTCTTCATCAAAAACTATCAATATAGAATTTATATGCATTTATAACATTTTTGTTCAATGGTGGGAAAGCAGCAATCTGAAAAGTTTTTTCAGTGATTCCCTTTTCAATTCTATCGATTGTTTCATTTTTATATTTTTGTATTTTAATCTCTCAAATATAAGGTATGAACCTTGTCATAGTTGTAACGAGATGGTTTGTATCAATCAAGTGGAAATCGAATAATTTTTCCCTACGTTATGTTACTCGTCGAAGCAGTGCACTCGTTTCGTATGAAACTCCTTGTTCTTCCGTGTAAATGCGAGACAGTCCAAATGGATACCGGGATTAAGTGGCCATAGCTCCAAGCTGTCACGCTGGACCGTCGGTTGTGAGAGAAAACATTTTCTCATTACGAATACGGGTTTTGTTTCGAAAAACTGTGTCGGTATGGTCGAGTTCAGGATATATGGGAGACACTAATCCTTCCTATCCGAAACGCATTTCAGACCATTTGTTTTCACGAAGTGGACTGGCAGAACTGTTTCGGAGAGAGAATGTTATCGCGATGTATTTGAATTGGCAAAGTCAAAAACTTTCCAAATCTACATTTTCAGTTTGACAGTGCATACTAACGTATAATACAGACATTTTCTACCTGTCTGCGATAAAGCAAAAAAGTTTATGATTTTTAACATGTATGTAGGGGTACGTATTAGTGGACTGTTGAGGTGAATATAATAAATAATGCGTCAAATAATTTGCCTCAAATTTTATTTGAAAAATAAAATGAAGTGCTCAAAGACATTTGAATTGTTGGCAGTGGCATATGGTGATTGTACTCTGAGTCAGAAAAATGTTTACAATAAGTATAAGCTCTCCATAGAAGTTGAAGGAAATGTGAATGTCGCTCGCCCTGGACGCCCAAGCACATTAACAACCGATGAAAATGTTGAGAAAGTAAAGAAACCTATTATAAAGACTCATCTTATCACTATTAGAGGACTTTTGATATACTGTTTGGAACCTTTGGTGTAGTAATTAATATTACCGGAGTTTTTTCCCAACACCAAATCGTTATTTTTACACCTCGACACGTGTTTCGATCACCAAGTGATCATCTTCAAGAGGAAGATAAAACTAATAACTACTCAAAACTAAAGCTACTTATACTAATCAGGTACATCATACAGGTAGGTATTCAGTAATACCACCCATACAAGTGTACCACCCTAAATTAATTTTACAATTGGCCTTTCTATTATTTACAATATGTCCTTATGTATGTTTAAATGTTACAGCTATATATAAAACAATTTTCAGCTATATAAAATTAGTTTCACAATATTGCCTATCTAAATATATTTACAATGTGTCTTTTTGTAGTAATCAGTAAACCCAACAATATTATTTCAACAAGCTATATAGTATGCTATTTGGTATTGGTCCGTTATCGTTATTCATAATATTATTATGTTTACTTATTTCCACACTCTCATAGGCATCTAGTTGCCTGTTGTTATTAACTTGTCTAACTAATCTTGAAGAACTGAAGTCTATGGAATGGTTTTGTTGCAAAATATGATGGGCGACTGCTGATTTTTCAGGTCTTCCATATTTTAAGTGTGCTATGTGTTCCTTATATCTCACTCCAATAGATCTTTTTGTCTGTCCATAATATTTTGCATAGCAGTCCTTACATTCAATTTCGCGATTTCAGTAAATTAAAAAAACAATAAAAAAAATATTGTTTTTGTCAGATTAAGCGAATCCCTCTAGATAATCGTCAGATTATTATTACATTATAATAATGGCCGCGATCGAAATCGTCAGATTATTGAATTAGAGCTTTTTTTATTGCACTTAACACCCCCTTAGAAAAGCTGACGCGCTTGATTGAATTTTTTTTCACTTTTAAACCTTACGTACAACCACCCACATCATGCAAACGATCAGATTAACATACCAACATTATTAAAAATACGTAGGATATTGATGCTATCAATATCTGACGCGCTTGAGTATGTCCATGCGACAGTATTTTTTTACATATTCTAAAATCTATAGCCGCTTTTCCACCAATGAAAAGGTATATATTATATAACATTTTTTTCTTCTTATCATCTGAGCTTTGCAACCTAATATGTCTCAATGACGCTCGAGTAAATCCCCATTTTGCATCGTGGGCTCCCTGCTATAATGTGCACAACACAATTTTCAATAATATTTATTGGTTTTCGATCGACTGAGGGTTTTGGGGAATTTTAGAATATCGAAGATATTGATATTGTTGACCCGTCGTTCACCGTTTTGTCTCTGCGGGTCAACG